CACCAAAAGGGCACAGAGATGAGCACTTGGGGCAGTAAGTTTTACTCAGATGAGTAGTCATGGAACACATATGTGATTTTCTTCAGAGTAGTGCTACAAAGACTGCATGAGACACCATGTCCTACTCAGTGAAACTGAGATCTGTGCAGAGTGCGTGGGTTGTGTTGCATTAAACTGCAGCACACTATGATCTTCAGCTCTAGTCTGAGTCTGGGTAACAGAAGACCTTTCTTAACCTGCTCAGTCCAGCACTGACAAACATCTGTTGCTTACCTTTTCTTTGCCTAGGCCAATGCCCAAAGAATTCTACAAAAACTAGAAGATGTACAAGAAATGTTTGACAAGAGGCAAATAAGTCTGAAGAAGCTGGCAGCCAAACAGACCCGGCCAGTACAACCTGTTGCCCCACATCCTGAATCTTCCCCAAAGCGAGCATCACCAAAGATTACCAGACCAGCAGGAGTTGGTAGGCCATGAACAGCTGCTTTCAGATACATGCCAATGTTTTGTCCACAGTGTCATGTTTAATTTTTGTTATCAGAATGAAAACTTGCATTTGATGTTCAGTGTCAGCCTTCTAAGCCCAGCTGTTAACAATGAATGTGAAATATCTGTCACAGCAAACATACAAACAAGGGTGAATAAAAAAAAATCAGGCTTCTCTTCCTAGGTCTAATCTATAGAGTACATTTCTATACTGTTTCTCAGTATGTCTTATATTGCTAGTTCTTGAAAACTCAAACCAGGCTAGTCACTGACAACTATGTAAACTAAGCACAAACACCTCTTTTACATTGCATATACTGTAATGTGAATATTTGGCATTAAAGGGTCACAATCCTTCAAGTTTCAATCAGATACTGCAAAGGTTAAGGGTACATTAGTGACAGACTCATTTGTGCAATTTTTACCTTTTCCCTCTACATAACTGTTTATTCACTTTCTAGTGTTGTCCTCTACTAACTATGAAAGTTGAGCATTGCTTCTGTTTGGAATTTACTGAAAGTTAGCATATGCCTTTAACCAAGATAACTATTTTCTGCAGAAAAAACATGGGTAAAGTCAATTTGAAACAGTGCATCTTGGAAACTTGCTACCCTGTACTATGTGGTAGGAAGGGGCTGTCCCTTTTCAGCAGAGATAGTTATAAGAAATTAAAAAATGGAACCTTAGGGTTTTTTAAAAGGGGAACCCTTAGCGAAAAGCCTTGAAAAAACTAATTTGCATGAAGAGCATGCAATAAACTTTGCTTTCTCAACAGGAAGATTAGGATGGCCAGTAGCCTGAACATTTTGCTTTCTAGGCATACTATCACAAGGTCACACAAACATCCCTGTTGTTCTCCTCTGCTCCCAAACACTCATCCTTTCTCACCAAGGAAGATCACCTTCTACTTCCAGCTGCCATGCTTGTTTGACATCTGTACTTTTCCCCGCTAACCACGCTAGCTGTGTTCTTAACACACAGTTGCTACGTCAAGTTTCAGCTTCACTATTGGCTTAAAGCAAGCTGAGACTGCAGTGCCTTTGAAGAGGTCCTGCTCTGCTATCCACGCACCCTCCAGCAATGTGTTCCCCTCTTGCACTGGTGTTGGCAGTCAGTTAGCTGTATGAGTTGTGATTTACCTTGAAAACTCAATGAGCTGACTGCAAAAATGTGGTACCTAGTTTTCCATTGCATGAGTTAGGAAAATGTAGGGAGCTCTGGAGATCATATAGCCTTATCACCTTCTCAAAGCAGCACTAACTTTAAAGTTGATCAGATTGTTCACTGTGTGGCCACTAGAGCTGAAGCAAAGGAAGCTGCAGAAAAAGGGGGTTATGGGGTCAATAGGTCAGAGGTAGTTAGTCCCTGTCAGTAGTAGTACAGTTTTAGAATGGCTTTCACCTATTGTAAAACTGTGTCTTCAGGCTAAACGCTAGTCTTGCACTTCTGTTTATGCGTGCAGTCTCTGTGCTTGTGTTTCTTGAACTTCTTTCCTGTCATTTTAGAGTGCTTGCAGATATTTTTAATTAAACTTTTCATATAGATAAAACCTTAAAAAATAGTCACTAGTATATAAATGACAATGCTTTAAGTTTTGATTCTTGTTCATACAGCCAATCCAATACTATCAGCTCTCTCACAGAAAATCATGAGATGATCCCTTGCTCTGACCCTTTTATTGCAGTTCCATGTTATACAACACAATACAGGATAACAGTGTGGGAAGGATTGGCCTCAGATGTCCTGTTGCAAATTAATAGGTAGATGAAATTTATTTTAAAACGTTACTCCAGTTTTCTCTGAGGAGATGAAAAGTGCAACCCAGTCCTGTTCAGATATTGATAAGCAGACTACAGAACTCATTCAGATTATTTGTGCCTGCAGAAGATTGACTTATAGTACCTCTATACAAAGAAACAGAAGTCCCTGACTATCTACAACTTATCCTGGGGCTCAGAAACAGTTACTTGAACTGCTGTATTTACATATACTGTGTGGCATCCTTTGGGTATCCAATTGTCCACTACAAAGAGTTATACTTTGAATTTCCTGAGTGTCCTTTCCCTCAGAATGCCAAAGCACTTGGCAAGTACTGGTAAGTATTTTATCCTCTCTTTTTCAGAAAGAAAACTGAAGCACAGATAAACTGAGTGATTCACCAGGGAGTTTTGCAGTCTGAGTCTGAAATGTGGCTGAGAATAGAAACAGGGACACCGAGTCCTATTCCAAGCCTTGAAAATGAGGCTGTGAAATTCTGTTCTTCTTGAAGCTATCTCTTTTGGACTTTCCTCTGTGCCCTTTTTTTCACATAAACAAGATCAGTGCAGAATCAGCATTTATTTATGGGGAGAATCTATTCAGCACCATCCTGGAAAAATGAAAGAGGCTAAGAGCACCTTCTTGAAACAGATACTGTAACTCATTCTTATTTGGTTATCCAGGACATACCTGAATAGTTCTAAAAGCATGCAAAATAGAACATGGCAACAGGAAGATACCATGTTTCTAGGCTGTGTAAATACAAAGGTAGGCAAAGGCAATGGCAATAAAATGTGATAAACAGAAATAGAAGACCAGAAAGAAAGGCTTTTGTCCCCAGGCAGCAGATATAACAACACCACGGCAGCATTGCAGTGGTTGTCTCTGAAAGGGAAAACAGTAACATTCGTTCCAGAATGGATTTTGTTTTGTTTTTACTTGCTGACTCTCCATTTCCCTAACAAGGAGCGGCAGGGAAAATTCAATACAATTCAGGGTACTAGTGGAAAAATCTTAACAGATACGAAAGCTCAGGCATGCAATACTCCATTATTGTAACTGTGAGAATCTTCATTTTACATGGATATATACAGAGGTGCATACAGGAAGAGCTGATACCATGTATGAGAGAAAGGGCAGATTTCTATCAGGGAAATGACTGTGACAGTTCCTTATATCTCTGCCCTTATGGTCTCTGGTGACTCTTGGCAACATCCTAGCTTAGCAAAGATCCAGAAAGGTGGCTCAGAGCTGCACTGCAAACTCTCCCTCACCCGATGCTTTTCTGTGGGTCTGAAAATTCTGAAGCAAAATTTTAAATTAATCCAATTTTTGCTTGAAGCTTTTGGTTTCACAAATGAACTTGTAAATTTTGTGGGGACAGACCTGTTCAACATTGAAAAACTAGTACTGGAATTAATCATGATGCTCAAAAGTTTATGCCAACGGGACTTGATGCACATTTTAGCTGTGGGAATCTGCTTAAATATTATTCACAGATCAACTCAGAAAAGGCAGAAAACCCTCTGCTGACTCTTTTATAAGTGCCTTGAAAATATTTAAGTAGTATATATGACACTTTATTTAAGGAGAACTCTGCTTACGCCCAATAGAAGCTGTTTGAATACTGCTAAACTTGTCCCTGTATGTGTTGGGAGAAAGAGGTGGCACTTGATGGGGAAATTCCTTTGCTTTAGTTCCCTTCTGATGAGGGCATCATTTTTTGTGATTTGACTATATAGTTGTGGACTGTGTTTCTGTACAAAACTCCTTAGCTGGAGTGAATTGGGATAGGTCCACAAAATTAAACCAAGCAGGCTAGTATTGCCCATAGGCTGTCAGGCACAGTAGGATAAGCCACAGAGCTGTAAAGGGTAATATAAGCTATTAGGGATGACTATAGTTAGCATTTCTCTATTTTCATTTGCTTGTAATTCTCCCAAACTCTAACTCTTTGAAATGAAACTTTCCCAAAGGCTATCTTCTTCAGCTTGACACTTTCTTGGAAAACTTCAGTAAAAAATAGTTTGGACATCTCAGTGAACAAGGCTAGGAAAATTGTCTTGTTTTAGTTACCTTTGTGGTGAGAACTGGAACATGGCAGTACAAAATAGTTTTGTCCCTTCCTAAAGTGTCCGGATTTGGCAGAATTATAAGCACTTGGGGGGGGGGGAACCTCAGTTTATACACATTCATTGTGTGTGAACTTGCTATAGTTTGGCTCCTATAGTCTCATTTCCTTTGTTGTCAGCAAAAATCTTTGGGACCCAGAGGCAAAATATGTATCTTATCCCCTGCACAGCTTGTTTCCTTACAGTATGATCTTGCAGCAGCTTAAGCCCTTCTTAATGCAGGGTTGTGACAGTTTCCCTTTCTCCTCTCCTCTTGGCCCAGCACGGCAGTGTGTGACTCTGCTTTCCCTCAGTACTTACGGTCACGTAACTGGTGGGAACAAAGGAGGGAACTGAAAATTGTCACTGTGGGGGGGAGTTTGGTTTGTTTTGGTTAGTTCAGCTCCTCTGCATCCAGTTCCATGCACAGTAGTACTGACAAAAAAGGAGACAGAAGTGTGTGGCCAAAGGTTGGGAGGAAAGGGAGAACTCTACCAGACCCAGTTCAGATGCGTTCCAACTGTTCTGGAGTCAGCCCTGAAACTGTAACTACTTACTGCTGCTTTTAGTCCTGTGGAAATGGGAAAAAGAAACTGGTGCTGTAGGTGTAAAGGTTTCAACCCTGTTAAAAACCCATGTGGGTGTTAATGTGATTCAACTTAGTGCAATTTTGGGTGTGTTTTTTTTTTTTTTAATAACTTGTGCAACTACATAAAGAAATCTACATTGAAAGAGCAGTAAAAGACTGAAATCAGAATTGCTGGGCAGGGCATGTGCTCTTGAACATGTGAATTGGCATATAATACCCAGTAACCTGAAAATTCAGTTCTAAAAATGTCAAGTTGGTCTTCCAAAGTAGTTTATTCTCTTTTGATCTTTATCTATGGAACTCAGAGATCTCAATATGGTTGATAACAGCCTGTTACCTCTGAGAAGTGTTGTGAAAACAGTTCAGTAAATATTTATGAAACACTTGAATTGTAAAAACAACTATTAGAAAAAAGACAATTATTTTCAGAGCAGGGGTTGACATAGAATATGGATAGCAAGGCTCTGAGCCCCCACTGAGAAATACAGATAAATCAAAATAATGAATAGCTGCTCATGAACT